TTGGGGTGAGATGCTGACAGTAGTGATTCTGCTGGCCTTCCTAAGCATGTCAGAGGAAGGGATATTTACTCATCCCTGAGAAAGCAGACGGCTGACCCTGCACACTCTCCCTGCCTGTCCTCTGGCTGAACGCGTGAATCCTTTTGATGTGTTATGGTACTCGGATGTACGCATGAGTGTTTGTGATGTCCCGCGCGAATGTGTGTATGTTTTTTGGATTTTTTTTGTTTGTGCATAAATTGAAATATTATGAAATATGTATGTGTGTGACAGGCTCGTCTAACGAAGGAGCAGCGGTGGGGCAGTGCCCTCCTGTCCAGACATCAGTCCCTGGAGGAGGAGTTTGAGCGAGCCAAGGCCGCTGTAGAGGTACTGTAAGCAAAGTACTGCTTAGTACACCTCACATCAGTCACCTGTCAGAGTGCCATGTCCACTGCTGACTTTTACCAAGACTTAAGAAAGACAAAGTCAGAGTTAGATTTTCAACATTAAACAGCAGAACTCTGTCTCTTCAATGCCCTTGTCAGAGTGGTCCATCCAAATTTAGTGCAGATTTTACCTCTAACATGAGAAAAGTCAGCTAAATAAAAGGCTAATTCATGTGTGCTTCCATCCACTACCATTATCAGAACAAATACCAATTCACCAAGATAAAGAGCTGGTGCTGCTACTTTGCCTGCCATTAAACCAATGCAGAACTAGAAGACAACCATGATGTAATGAAAATAGCACTGATCAAACCCAAACTGTGAAAACAATGTAGAAAATGCTTGTTTCCTCTATTAGTAGGAGAAAGATTTCGGTCTCCTTATTACTCCACACAAACCTGACATCATTCTTTGCTATTTTTTGTCTCTACAGTACAGTAACAACAGCTTCAGTGACTAAGTCATGTGCATTATGTACATTATGATTTATTCTATACATCTGCTCAAGCCGTTTGAATCTTACTGTGAACCAGAGTGTATGTTGTTGTATGTGCAGAAGGTCTTGGTGGGCACACACGTCCTCACAAAAGCTGATGTATGATGTCACAGTGTCAGTGAGTTCATCCAGGTCTGTAGACACACATGATCCACCCAGTCTGTGCAGTCAGACCAGGCCTGTAGCTCTGACTTTGCCTGCTCAGTCCATCGCTTCATTGTTTTGGCCATAGGCTTCACAGCCTTAAGTTTTTGCCTATAGGCCAAGATGAGGTAGACCAGGCAGCGATTGGTGTCCGAGGGCTGCAAGGGGGACAGAGCAAGAGGCGTCTTTTATTTCCGTGTAAAATGTGTTTGTGTCCCTGGTGGGATAACTTACTCTTTGCATTGGGGTAGGTCATGGGTGAGGTTTGCTCTGTTAAAATCTACTAGAACAGTGAATGGGGAGTTGGGATATTTCAGTTCAGATAAAAAAAAAAAAACTCCATTGTGTCTTTATATAAATAGTACAAAAAGATACATCAAAATGAGAATTTACTTAAGAAAACTATGTTCAAAAGCACATTTTCACCATTGTTATCTGTGTAGCCAGAATTTACTTAAGAAAACTATGTTCAATATCACATTTTCACCATTGTTATCTGTGATATTCACTCCTGTACTTTAAACATCTACCTGAATCTACCCTGTGGAGCAGATTTCCATTTGACTGCAGCCTTTTTATCTCCTTGGCAAATGATCACTATTGTGCCAAAGCTCAGGTGCTGATAGTTCAAGACCATGTTAAATTCACACACTGAACTTCACAGGATGTTTGACCCAGAAAAATATTAACGGCTCTCAGCTGGCTAACAATAGGAAGATAAATAGGTCAGTCATTTTACAGCCCGACATATTAGATATCACAGGACGGAGACAGAGTAATTAGATATGGCTTAATTCATCATAGGACTGTGCATCAACACTGCATGTGTTGAGTTATGAACTAGTATGCCTGACGTTCTCCTGATAAGGTTTGCCATAACAATATTTAAGATGACTCATACATCTCTGAGGAAGAATAAGCTTTTATTTGAAGCTCAAAGCACTTTCATTACCTTTTCCTTTTTAGTGTCACTGTACATTATATTACTATTGATCCAATAATTAAATTGACAGGATGAAATGAGAATTTTGAGTCTTGCAATAGGTTTAGACACTGCTGTACCTTATTAAGTTACATCCCCTTGGTCCAACAACATCTACCTGCATGACTAAGTGATTTAAAGAAAAGCTGAGTGTCTGTTCTGTACAGGAGACGTAGATGGGCATAGCCAGGAAGGCTTTTTACTTTAGATAAAACCACTCAACTGCTCAATGGATATCCCCCTTGGTAGAAGATGGGAGTGAATGCTGCACTACCGAGTTTACTGAGGTCCACTGTACACTGTTGTATGCTGAGCTACAGTATGTGCAACAATCAATAAATAATAGAGCAGGGACAGGAAGACAGGGAAAAAGAGACCGGCCTGACCTGTGTGGGAATCCCTTCCCAAACCTGGCAATGATGTCACATTTTGTATAAGATGTAACCTGCATCCTCCCAAATAACTGCAGAATTTGATTGCACACGTCAACCGGAGGGCAGGTAAGTAATGAAATTCTGAGGTGCTCCTGGACAAACATCTGAGCATGGAGCATTGATTGGTAACAGTATTTCACAGCTTTCATTGAGCAGCCTAAGTATTGGCCCCCACTTCAGAGGAGCTCTGATGTAAGTGGTCAGCCATTTTGGCTTCTAATACCATTGCCAAAGCCCACAAATCAGGCAATTTCCGGTTAAGCAGCTGTGCGTATGCATACTCTCTTATGCTTATAAAGGCATGGAAGTAGAGACAGCTCAGATGGCAGAAAGAACATTAAATCAGCACACCGTCTTTCTGCCAATTCATTAAATTAAATGAAGCAGCCAAATGTTAGAAAATTAGGGCAATGACTTGGGCTCCCAAATATTGTCCATTTACAAAACTGGCACTGATAAGAAAAAGTAGCTCTTGTGCTTTTACACATAGAAACTCTTGAAAAAGAAAGATAAAACGGCTGTGGCCCAAGAGAGGCAGCTCCACTTGGAACTCATGTACAAAGAAGCTGATACAGGAGATATTTTCTGAGTGGGTAAGTGACTGTCCATGTCACATGAGGACACCACCAATTACACCGAGCTGATGACAATCTAATACTTTTATTAAAAAGGGATCCACTGGAACAGCTGCAGAGTAAATTGTGACTTCAGGGAGCAATGTTTCGGCAGTGGGGTGTTGAGAAAGCACTCCCCCAGTGGTGATAAAGACAAGATGGAGGTGACTGTGTGGCCTCTTGTTTGATTAAAACAGCAGCAGGACAAGTTCACTTGCAGACTACTGGTCTGGGGCGGCTTTGGTTTAGGGAGAGATTGCACAGGCAGTGCAGTTGCCTAGAAGTTAGAAATGCAGGCTTGTGATTAAAAGGTCAGTGGTTTTAATTCCAAAGATCTGCTGATTAAATGTGGATGGAGAAAGTAAATGCTTTGAGTAATGCTTTCATCTCCTTCAGCAATTTCCAGTGTTCCCTCGAGCAGACCACCCAACAACCAACTTTTCCAGTGGAACTGCAAAGTTGCAGCATGTGAATAAGGAGGTATGAGGCCTGCAGGCAACAATGCTTCCTCGAAGTTAAGTTTGTTTAGGCCCACTACTAACTTGCAGCAACATATACATTTTCAAAGAAGTGTACTGCTGCTTGGAATTTATTTTTATAAGCACATCTGTAATGAAATATCTGCAGTCTCAAAAGGTTTTTATCATTCTTTTGGCAAGTTAAATCTCTTGGTTAATGTGAGGGAGCGTTCAGGATCTTGGCTAGATCTGCAGTAATGGATTTTTGGCTACTCTGAAATTTGACATGGTGAAGCCATTAGCAAACAGTTGCTGAGCACCATAAACATTAATTTGAAATTATGTTTCTGACCCTTATTCACTCTCCTTTAGGTCTGTTTCTAATCACTACCCTCCAAGTAACTGGTTCTTTAGCTGTTCTGTTCACCATATAGTTGCTGATCATGTCCGTTGTTTGTTGCAGAGAAAGTAGCATACAGTGGGTGTTAAGTATAAATTATTGCTGCTTTACATATTGAAAAGGTCAATGGTTACTTGAAGTGTTAGACAGAACATGTTCACTTTTCCAATATTTAACTAAAACCACAATCTGCCCCTAAACTGAAGTGTTGCTGTTGCCTAAATGTAACCACACATGACTTTGGATGCCAACCCCGGTGTCTGCTGTCCTGCACTCTGATACAAAAATGTAGCCGCCTACTTCCTGGACTATGTAAGTAGTAGGCTAAACATAATCCAGCAATTACATTTCCTTCAAAATGTTCATGGCAGAGCCATTTAGCGATAAAAGTACAATACAAATGTAACATGTTTAAGACAGCTTTGCTGCAGGGGAATGTAGATGAAATATGTGAAAACACCAATTCAAAACAATCCATTACCAAGCTAAAAGTCAGAACATTGTATATGTATTATAAATTCACTGCACTTTTCTAATGTCCTGAGCACAGTAGCGCCATAGACTGTATTGTTCTCATAGACATCCATATAGCGGGTAATCACATTGTCTGCCAAAATGCATTTATAGCACTTTGCTCACTGAAATGTATTTTATTGTTAAGTGAGTGACATTATCGTAACTCCAGCTTCCTATTTTTGTAACGCTGACCAAGGACTTGGCCTACACAGCAGAGCAGTGGGTGGCTCATTAGCATTAAAAGGCCAAGCAACGTCTGCTCCAGAGATGATGAGAGAGGGGAGGGGGAGGCTGTTCTGTGTGAGATTTAATGAGAATTTTTTGTAATGTACACCTCCTGGGCAAAGTGGATGAGTAGCCCCTATTCGTGTGCTTCGTTTCCTCCAAATGCTGCATCTGTAGTCAACACAGCCCGAACTGATGTAAACTGATACGGTTAGAGGAAGAAGCACACCAACAAATAAAGATTTAGAAACCAATATTTATACTGAATATAATTATGATGCTCTAAGCAATTCAGGTTGGTATTATTCATATAGCCTAAAATCAAACACACAGTATTTAAAGTAAAAAATTCACGCCTTCGATCGTTTTCTCCATTTTCTTAAGAACATGATATAAAACTATAACACACTATCTGCAAAATTAATAGTTATTCCAGCTATGCAAAATCCTGCTAAAGCAATACATTCATGCAAATTTAAACACCTAACAATTTGCCAATTCAACAAAAGGAAGCTGCTTTAATTCACTGGGTATTAACAGTGTTAAATCAAACGTTATAATAGGATCATGAAAAACTGTTGACTTTACCTGAAACTGGTTGTCTGATGATTGCCAAAAGCTTTGACACCTATTGGCCTACATATCTTTATTCAAGTGGAAAACAGACAGGTTTGTATAAATCTGGCCACGGCTGTCATCTCTATTTGTGCTACAGTACATGCAGATACAACAAAACAGGATAAAGCTTTATATTGCAGTTTAAATATTGTTTGCATGGGAACAACTATGTTTATTTATATGAGCGAGCCGACACCAAACGGGTCGTCTGCCTGCTGTTGCTTTACTTTATTAATTCTTTATTATAAAGTGTCCTTGTTCATTTTGTGATATGGTATTAGCTTTAGGAATACCAAAGAGAGCCATACATGCAACAGATGATTGTGCTTTCCCCACCAGGGTCCATGGTACTAACCCTCTAAAAGTTAGAGGCAAATATACTGAAGCTTTCATTTTTATGACCATCAGTTCATCTACCATGAGTTCTCCAAATTACCTTCCAGGAAAACTACATTTATTGTCACTGTATACACATAAATTATTTCAATACAACCAACTATCCATCCATCCATCTTCTTCCGCTTATCCGGAACCGGGTCGCGGGGGCAGCAGTCTAAGCAAAGATGCCCAGACTTCCCTCTCTCCAGACACTTCCTCCAGCTCCTCCGGGGGAATGCAGCGGCGTTCCCAGGCCAGCCGAGAGACATAGTCCCTCCAGCGTGTCCTGGGTCTTCCCCGGGGCCTCCTCCCGGTGGGACATGCCCAGAACACCTCCCTAGGAAGGCGCCCAGGAGGCATCCGAGCCACCTCAGCTGGCTCCTCTCGATGTGGAGGAGCAGCAGTTCTACTCTGAGCTCCTCCTGAGTGACCGAACTCCTCGCCCCATCTCTAAGGGTGTGCCCGGCCACCCTGCGGAGGAAGCTCATTTTGGCCGCCTGTATCTGGGATCTTGCCCTTTCGGTCATGACCCAAAGCTCATGACCATAGGTGAGAGTCGGAATGTAGATTGACCAGTAAATAGAGAGCTTCGCCTTACAGCTCTGCTCCTTCTTCACCACTGGTTGGGCAAACTCCCATGAACCCTCCACCACCCTGAAGAGGGTGTAGAGCTGGTCCAGTGTTCCACGGCCAGGACGAAAACCACATTGTTCCTCCTGAATCTAACTAAGAAATACTAAATACTTCATCTTAAAATGGTGCCAACAGCAGTTTAACATCTATGTGGTGTTGACAAGATTATCCCTTCTGTCAATAATGTATTCATAAAGTAAGCAATGAACGCCCACCTCGCCCCAACCCCGAGTTCATTTCCAAGCAGGAGCGATGTGTCAAGGCAGGAAGCACTCTGGATTTGATCCATTTCATCTAACACTGCATCAGAGCTGTTGAAATTAGAGTCACAGCTCCAGGTTCACTCTAGTGATACACGGGATATAAATTACTTCAGTGGCTTTGCCTTATTTCACGTAATTAAACTGCCAACGCCAGTGTTTTTTTCTTTTTAAGTGTTATAAAGAAATACGGCTACATTTCAGGTAAATTAAAAAAAACAAATCGATATATTTACTCCATTTTAACTCTGCAAGCAATTTGGCATCATTCATGGTGCAACTAAGAGGAACTCACCATGACAGGATTTCACAGTGCAAATAACCGACTGAGGTGCAAATAAGATGATAGACTAGATCACTGTGGAAATACAGCCTCACAGAATAATGAGAAATAATGGGGGGGGGGGGGGGGGGGTGTGTCAAAATTGGTTTTTATGCTATAACCTATCACATGAGCATAACGCTGAAGATTACAAGCAGGCAGCAACAGGGCTGGGCTGTGCAGCAGTACTGCTGAAGCTTTCTGTCACACATGTGCATTACAAATAAACAGTGGGGAAAAGTCACTACAGTATGAACATAATTAGAGCAAAGTTGGACGTACTTGGAGACTTCAATTTAAGATGCTTTATAGGCTACTTCATCTCAAAGGAAAATATTGTCCTCCGCTATTTTGATATGTTGTTTCAAATTAAACTACTCAGAGTATATAATAATCATGAAAATGCCACTTGTACATGAATGAAAGGATTTTATTTAACCCACCTTGCCATGTCCTAACCTTTATGGGAAACCTGTATAACACATCAATATTTATAGTAAAACAGCCTCCAGCTGTGCTTGTCACAAGTCCATCCAGGTGAGTGAATAATGCAAAAATAAATAGTAATCATCCACACCTCCCTGAACTCCCATGGAGCCACTAAATAAGCTGCCAATTTGATGGTTTCTTTTTCAAACAACCAGTTCTGACAATAAGTCATTTATTCTATACTGTAGAGCATCACACAAAATATTTGATTTGATTTATTCTTTCAAGCATTTAAAACAGTTGATTTAACAACACACATTTTTACACATAATCCAATATCAATGTGCTTATACCTAATACATGCTTGAATGGAGTAGGAAGAAGTCAGACTTATCCAGTCCTACCCCATGACATCATCTTACCATCATTGGTTTGCAAGCAGTAAATGATTCACTTCTACACACACACATATTATACTAAAAAAGAATATAACAGTGTTAACATTCTTAAATCACACAATTGATATACTAAAGAATGGTTTACAAAATATAATCATTGAGCCTGTTCTTACATATATCTTGATTGACATACACCTTTATATTTATGTTTGAACTCGTCAATTCTATCACTATTTTTTAAGTCCACACTTAAATTATTCCATAGTTTTACCCCACTTATGGAAATACAAAATCTTTTTTTGGTTGTACGTATAGCATGAATTTTTAAATTTAACTGACCCCTTAAATTGTATCCCCCTTCCCTTTCATTAAATAGTTTTTGAATTCCACCAGGTAATAAATTGTTCCTGGCTTTATACATAAACACAGCAGTCTGATATCCCACTAAATCAAACAATTTTAACAATTTAGACTGTATGAAAGCTACATTGGTGTGATCCCTATACCCCATCTT